TACATACACAGTGATATATTAGAAATAGAGATATGGAATGACTTCAAATGAAAGACGACATCCTGGTAGCTAATATTAAGGGAGAAGCTGACTCAGAAAAGGGAACTATGAAGGTGAGTGAAAGTCAGATAGTGTTGCTACAAAATCCTCGACACTGTTCTAAACAAAAGAACAACTGTGAGGCGTGGTGCAGGACGGGGCAGTGTTTCCGTCTGCTGTACAAGGTGCAGCTTGATGGTGCCTCACCACCACCACCACATCAAAATGCGAAGCTCTTGCTTCGCACACCATCTTCCCTTTGGTCTAGAATGCCTCAGAAAGCAGCGTTTCTATCTCTCCACCCTTTCCTGAAGAATTCTGTGCTCCAATTTATACCGTATCCAAATGGAAGTTCTAATATCCTCAAGGATCTAAAATTGTGTTCCTTATGAAAATTTTTTTTTAGTTTGGGGAATAAACAGACATCTACAGGGACAAAATGAGGACTTTAGGGCGTGTGGGGTACGGTTTTCCAGTGAAACTCTCACAGGACCGCCCACATAGCCTTGTCTTGATGGGAAAACGTCCCCAGCACAATTTTACTGCCTATTGATGCAGTTTTCAATAGTCTTCAAACTTCCTCATAACAAGCCCACGGAACTATTCTGTGTCCTTCCTGAAAATCTGCTAAGATCACCCTGTAGAATTTTAAAATAAAAATCAGAATCTAGAGAAATGGAATTGATCTCTTGGCCAGGCATTTAACTGGGCTGGCAGATCACCCCGGATGCTACTGTTTGGATTGGACTTCTTTTCGAAGACACTCTAACAAAACCAAGACAAGTGTATTCCTGAGAGCGTTCATCTGCAGGCATCCACTGGTCTCAGGGACATGCCTAAACAGATGTGGTTTGCACTAAGCCCAGCAGGTGTGAGCTGGAGCTTTAACTGCAATATGTCTGTGCTTCTCCTCGGCTGTACAAGCAATTGTTTGGAACCTTCTCGCAGCTCCTTCCTGGATTCATAGTCCTTTCTTTAGCTTTATGCGAACTAGACTTCCTTGAACAATCACAACCCTCACACTTTCTATAAGCAGTACTTATCCACTAACAAAACTTTAGATGGCTTTAGGTATCATATCAAGAAATAGGACAATCTATTTGTCATCCTGGCTTCCACTAATCATGTGATGAAAATATTTGTTCAGTGAGAAATCAGTCATGGGTCATGCTTCTCCCTAAAGTAGGTCATAACAGATAAGACACAAAGATATATTATATGACTCCTTTACGCAATTCCCCCTCTCCCCTTAGTGACTCGTCTGTGATTTCCATGTTTAATAATTCTCCAATAGAGTAAGTGACGAGAGAAAAATCTCTCAGCGCAGTCACTAGGGTTTTGTCTTCAACACAACATGGGGTTATCTCAGCCTGGTACAAATGATAACTAGCAACTGGTACAAATGATAACTAGCAACAAGTGTAGAAACATTTAAGAATACTTACTTTGAGGGGGATGAACAACAGAAACGTGGGTGAAGGGAGACAGCAGACGGTGTAAGATAGGAAAACAATA